TCCTAATATTCTGTGATTCTGTGAAAACAGTGACTGAACACAGATCTGAATTAGACTGTTAGGTGTAATAACCAAGTTATAATTCTTTTAGACTGTGCTCCTTACATTTTCCTACAGCTTGCTAAAGATCTGCATATTCTGCCTGGGCTTTGGTTATTCAGTTTAAACTATTGCCTTTATAAAGGATGATTTTGTTTTCTTCTGTTAAAATAAATCTGTTGTAATTAAACCACAAAAATGTAAAATATGTAGTCATACTAGCTTTATAGTGCTAAAACATGTTTAAAGTATTTGCAGGTATTAAAAGATGATTCCTGAAAGCAAGTAATGTTAGAATAATGGGAATGAGGATTAAAATGCTCAAAGAAGTTCAACAAATCTAAGTGCTTCAGCTGACAAGCTATTAATATAGCCTGTTGTTTTCAGCTAATATGATGGGCTGTGGTTTGGGGAGCTGCGGGAAAATGCACTGCAAGTTTTGTAGAAGCTAGGTATTCCTTCCCAGTTTGAAGGCTGGCCCAAATGTTCGTCTCATGTTTTTCTTTATTTCTTCATTCCAAGGATACTCTCTGCACTCTTTTTTCCTACCTCCTTCTGTGGTCTGCACTTTATTGAATAGGCTGAACTCTTGTCCATGCTGTTCTGCAGACCTGTTTCAGGTTGATTGTTCTCTCCAGAAGACTATTGCAAATTTTATGTATGTGTGACGGCTTAAGTTCCCATCTGGGAACTTCACATCTGGGAACATTCTCTGTGACTAATGTACCAGATTGATTGTGCCTTTATGGATGACCAACTGACAACTTGTAGTTAATGGTCTTTCACACATGGTAAATGTTGGCTTCTCTCCCCAGGTTATTCTGTTGCTGTTCTCTCAACTCAGAGCTACATCTATTTTGTGGCTGGTGCACCAAGATCCAACTACACTGGCAGAATAGTGGTTTATGATGTTCACAGTGATGGTAATGTCGCAATTATGCAGTCCCAGAGAGGCGAGCAGGCATGTATATTTTGATCATAAATGCAAATTTTGCAGGCATCTGGTTTTTTTGATGTAGCAGTAAATTGCAGTGTGTTTGTTCTGAAAATCCCTCTTTCTTGCAATGCATATAGAATCCACTTGAACTTTTCTCTGCCTCTGAACTATTTCAATGAGGTCAACTGGAACTCTTAAACAGTATTTTAGGAAGTAATCCAATTTGTAGTAAAAGATAATATACAAAGCTATTTAATGTATCATTCTCAGTGAGCTCCACTCTGAGAAGTTGTGAAGCAGATGACATCAAAAGAGAGATTTGGACACTCATTCTCTTTTTCTCCATTTGGAAAAGGGCAATGAGTTTGGATGGTTTTGGTTTTGTTTGTTTGTAAGACAACTCTGAGAGTAAATCAGAGATTGGGTAGTTTCATGTGCACAGTTTAATCTGAAGAGATATACTTTCCATATCTTATTCTTTGTTTGAATTCTTATTGCTGAGTGGTAAAGCCATAGCAGGAGCTACTGGGCAGAAACAGTGGACACACATTAAGGATATGATTCTTCAAATGCTTAAGTATGTTATATAGTTATTTCATTCCAGTGGGCAGTTTCATCCATTAGTATTGGACTATTTCTGGGTGTAAGTTTTCTGAGTCAGGTGCTAAAACATTATAGTTTACAAAATCCACATACAGACACAACTCTCTTACTACTGATTTCAGATTGGCTCCTACTTTGGCAGCGTGGTGTGTTCAGTGGATGTTAATAGCGATTCTGTGACAGATGTGCTGCTTGTGGGTGCACCAATGTTTATGAATGACCTGAAGAAAGAAGAAGGGAGAGTATACATGTTTTCCATCACAAAGGTAAGGATGGCACTGTAGCAAAAATGGAATCAGCTTCCTGTCTCTCCATCCGTGATGAGTGCTGATATTTTAAGTTGCAGCCAGAGGGATTTATTGTTGTTTCCTGCACTACAGTTTTACCAAGGAAAATGCAGTCCAAACTGCCATAGTACTTAGTGGCACTGTCTGTTCTGTTAAATCAGAGAGTAATCAGAAGAGCGATGCCTGGACTCACAGCCAACTGGTGCAGCAGACTTGCTCAAACCAGCACTGCTTGGGGCTAGCTTCTTTTAAAGCAGACTGGACACATACATGCTACAAAGCCTTTGGCTCTGGATCTTTTCAAGGCCTCTAAGTCAGTATTTAGTGTATTTTTTTTTAAGTGTCGAAATATTGTGAGTGGTGGTTTTGTAATGAGAAACAGCATGTCCTTTTCCTGGGGTGTGGCATAAGGGCAGGAGTAAACGGTGCCAAGCCTGCATGGTTAGAGGGCTATGGATGGAGCCATTCCCAGTGCCATCTTGCCTATTTTGCTTTCCAGGAGCAGTTGCAAACTGCTTGTGCACATAATCTGGGAATAAGTCAGATGGAACAGACCAAAATGGAGTCAATAAGCAAGTTAACAGCTAAGAACTATTACTGATCAGGGGCCTGCTGCTCTAGGTCACTTCCTCATCCTGGTTTTAGGCACTGTACACAAATAATAACACAAGGTTGAGTATTTCTCTGAAAAACTTAGCTCAAGGCTTTTACTAATTAATTGTTTGCCATTTGATTTTGGCAAATCTGTTCAACACCCAACAGTATTCCCAAAGTAGTTCTAATAAATGCATTTCTGCCAGTTTGCATTTTTTAATAGACTTTCACACTGGATCATTGCTATTATATTGTCTCTTTCCTTGAGTGAACCTATGTTATTTGTCTGATGTTTGATTGACTGTGTTTTTTATTCAGACCTGTAGTAGATGTTTTCAGAATAACTGTATTGACAGTCCTGAAGCCTCTGGCACTTTTGAACAGTCTCTCAATCAATCATTGGATGACTGGATATGCAAAGTAAATTAATACCTGACATCCATCAGAGAAAACAGAACATGGTGATTTTACTAGGTAATTTGCAATCAAATAAACAGAGAGGAAGGAACACCCTCTTCAGCAGCACTTCACAATCAGATCATCCTGGAGGAATAGGAAACTATACTCTAAGGCAATTTCAAGGTAGATGGAGGTGCTGGAAGTGATACTGCTGGCAGCTGATATTGGTCTTTGTGACTTTAGAATTAGACATGAAATATGGAAGAAAAGGAAAAATGAAGGATTTTTTTTATGTTTTGGAAACTCAATAAATTGGAAGACTATTCTTACTAGTCTTTGTCAAATGTTAGGTTCAAAATTATTTAAAAATTAAGAATAATTAAAGATTTTTTTTTCAAAGAATCTGCAACTTGTCCATGTTGTGTAAATTGTTGTCTAGTCATTTTTAACAAATATCTTCTAAAATTTTAAGTGTGATAACTGAGGTTAAAGATGAGAATGATATTTGCTGGAGAGTTGAATTTAAGCCAGCATAAATGTGATTATTTTACTATAAAGATCTCCAATCTTTCTTTCTTCATTGGCACTGAAGAGGTCAGGAGTTTAGCATTTGGACACATGTTTTTTTCATTAGTTTAGTTAGGAAATTCCATTTCTGTTTCAAAGAATTATGTCCAGTTACATAATTTCCATTCCCTCTGCATAAAAACTGGTAATCCAAAACTGGAAACTGTATTTTTCAATGTACTGTGAAACTTTCAGAACAGTCAGATGAGGACAGTGAGAGCATTTAAGCTTCATACATATGGTTATATTTGCTGTTAGTGCTTTGCATAGCAAATAATTTTGCTGTGTTATGCTTGCCAAGACTTTCAGATATAATGCAAACTGAATGGGCAGTACAATGGTGAAGGAGTTCAGAGTTGAGCAGTCCAAGGGGAATGTGCTGGAAAACAAAAAACAATGCACATAGATACTGCTTCTATGTCTAATCTGGTGCAGTGATCACTGTGTTTTGCTTTTTCTTCTTTCTTCTTTTTTTAAAGGGAATTTTGGATCAACAAGAACTCTTGGAAGGTCCACAGGGGTCAGAAAACGCTCGCTTTGGATCAGCGATTGCAATGCTTGCAGACATTGATTTGGATGGCTTTAATGATGTCGTAATAGGTGCACCACTGGAAAGCCAAAACTCCGGAGCAATTTACATTTACAATGGATTTCAAAAGACTATACGTACTAAATATTCTCAGGTAATTAACTTTGTTGCATAATGCTGTATTCAGTGCCTTTAGATCTCCTAGAGGAAAACAGAAGGATTTTCTGTCTTTTAAGTGGCTACTCTTTCACCCACTTAGAGGAGTACTGTTATTCTCATGGCTTATTTCAAGGTTTTTTGCCTTTCCTTAATTCAGCTGTTAGCGTGCGCTGGTTGGTGGTGTGGTTCTTATAACTGAAGCATATAGAGAAAAAGGACTTGCAAGATGCTGCATCTGAGCCTCTTACCATTTTTGGTGCCTGTGTATGAAGTCAGCTAATTTCTTATGTTTTCGACACCCATTTTTCAGGTTTTTAGGGTTGATGTACTGCAATGAAGATTAGATACAGCCCAGCACTATAAATTAAAAATACGTAGTATTAAAGGAGAAGACTTTCAAGGGACTTTGCCTATCCTATATGCTAATATAATGGTAATTTTAATGTCACTTTTCATGCAGACTTTCAGGTTGCAGAAAGTATTTGTTTGAAGTCCTGTTAAGCTTCGTATTCTTTGAGTTGCTCAATGTGAGATGGAAAAAGTTTCCAGTAAGTACTAGCTGGCATACAGCAGCCAGTTGATTTACTCCCAGGACAGAAAAATCTAGTCCATTGTCTGCTCCAACAGGAGAGGAAAAAGTGCTTAAAAGCATCTGAGAAAACATCCACAAAAGTATTTTGTTTAAACAATACTTTGCAGATACAGAGAATATCAGTGAACAGCCATTACTTAAGCTACCACCTACAGACTTAAGTATGCTTGTGGCAAACTCAGTAACTCCAGTCTCTTTCCCAGAAAATTTTAGGATCGGATTCCGCTTTTGGACAACGGCTCCAATTCTTTGGAAGATCAGTAGATGGCCGTAGAGACTTAAATGATGATGACATCACTGACGTATCAGTTGGTGCTGATGGAAATGTGGTTCTCCTATGGTTGGTAAACTCTTACAGAAAGGAAGCACTTAATGATTCGGATTCAAATCGAGCATTTAGTTAATTAAACAGCAAAACAAAAAAACTACAAAAGCTCTTGCATTACATGTGTTCAGGGCTACCACACTTATTGCCTCCTTGCTGCTATCATAGCTAGCTGAAAAACAGCATTAGACTAAACTTCTTTCAAGCATCTATCATCATACCATTGAAAGCCAAGGCAGTGTTAGAGGCAAGCCAGGGCCTGAAAGGGGAAGCTGGGTGGTGGGGGCTGCTGGGAGAGACCTGAGCAGGGATGAGGAGGGCCAGCCTCCTGCTGCTGTGCAGAGTGAAGGGGCAGCAGCAGGGAGTGGGGCTTGCTTGAGAGTATTTTGTAACAGCAGGAGGTACTTCAGGAGTCGCAGTATACTTCTGATGGCTGAGTCTGAGACAGGTGAAACCACTTCCCACACAGCCTGCGTGACCTTTACTGGCTGGTAGGTTGACCTCAGGGAGAGATCTGTCCTGCAGGATAAGGACAGAGGGACAGAGAGCAGTGAAAGAGAGTTGGCACCTATTTTTGGCAAAAAGCCCATCTATTATGACATGTGGCCTTTGCCAGAGAAATCCCGAGTACTTTCACAAAATAAAGAAAGGCTTCACAGAACTCAAGTCTTCTGCCTCCCTGAGTACTGTGTATTTTCCACTACTTCATTGAGGAGCTAAATTAAAATGCAGCTTGCTTTCCTATCTGTTTCCTGTCTTCTTGCCTGAGGCTCCCCATTGTAAGAAGAAAAACATCACAGAATCGCTACTTATTTGATAATGAAACAAGATTATTAAAAATGAATGGTCAGTTTGGAACTTTGACCCACAATAGAACTGCTGCTAGTGCTCGTGGGAATTGCATTAAGGAAAATTATGCTCTTTAGAGTACCAGCATTTACTTAGATTTAATTGATTTGAAAGTTATTTTTCTGAAAAATAAGAGTATTAATTAAAATGAGGAATAACCCTTCTTCACCTTCCCAGAGGAGCTCAGTAACTTCCCAAAAGAAGCAGAAGGAGGTTACTTACTGGAAAAACAGGACAATGGCTTCATTCTGTGTTACCTTAAAGGAAAGATTAGAGCATTAGGATAAAGATATTGATTATATATTAATTTGACATGATAAAATATTTATTGTCATTTCTGAAAGCTACTGTGTCAAAAAAATCACTTATATGCAAAGAAAAATAATTTTACCAGTCCCATTAAAAAACATTTCCATAGGGAACCAAGAAAATCAATGTTACAGTTACAGATAGTAATAGACAAGTTCAGCGTTACCCAGTGCTCTTGAAAATCACATATAACCTTTTAAAAATGTTTTTTAGGTCACGAAGTATTGCAAATGTGTCCATAATTGCCTCATTTAAACCTGAGAAAATCAGTCTGCTGAACAAGAACACAGAAATAACTGTCAAAATATGTTTTCAAGCTACATTTAGACCTGCTAAGAGAAACAATCATGTGGGTAAGAGTATTTCAATAACTTATATTAATTTCTTCAACAGTCCATTATCCAAATGGGAAGTGGAAATTCTAATGGTATGTTAGATTGCATGTCAAGAAAGGCAAAATCAGTATAAGTGCTTGAGAAGTGTTTTTAAGTTCTACTTTCATCACTGGCTCCATAATCTTTTGAAAAGTAAGTAATTAACATTATAAAGGAGAGCTGTATCCTTGCTGTTAAACAAACCCCAGAGAATGTTATTAGTGAGGAGCTGATTTTTTTCAACCTGCAGGTTTCAGCGTCAGACTGCAGACTTTTCTTCTCTCTGCAGAAAAAAATAAAAATCCATAGGCTCAGTGCAGGTATCAGTGGGGAGAAGCTCTTCTTTTCAGAGGAGAGGAGAGCACCATATATTTCTAAGACTAGCTCTGGCCTTTCATGAAGGTATTTAGTGAAACGTACATGTCATGGATAACACCAGTTGGACTGCTTCAGTGCTAAATATAGTGCTTTTAGGAACTCATGATTTTGAGCTATAAAATAATGGTATTCCAGGGCGTATTAGTCATAGTATGAAGAGAAGACAACAGAAATTATTACATGATTGAAGAGAAGATGCAGATTCTTTATAATCTCCTCAGAGTTCAGGGATATGGCTGCAAGGCCTCTTTATCTCATGTAATCCTGGCCCTGCTGATTGGGTTCTTGCCTGAGCTGCAGGCTCAGACATCTCAAATAGAGACTGGGTTGATTGCCATTTAATGTGCTCTCTGTGAATGAGAATTTACATCAGGATTTAAACCTGTTTGACTGCTTTGGAAAGCACAAGAGAAATTTTTATCATTTTGAGACTGGTCTGTGTTTAGTGAGCTATGAAAATATTTAGTGTGGTTTGGAAAGCCTGGCCACTGTAATCTCAAGCGTAGTAATGAGATCATGGGCAGTCATACTCAGCAAAAAATGTACTGTTATTCTTCTTGTAGCTATAAAGTACAATGCAACATTGGATGCAGATCTTCAGTCATCTAGAGTGACTTCTAGAGGACTGTTCAAAGAAAATAATGAAAGGTACATGCAGAGGGATCTTGTCGTACATCATGAGGAGAATTGCATTCATGATGTCTTCAGTGTGCAGGTATGTGCAATGGCAAGTAGTCTTACGTGACAAAAATGATCAGAAGATGATGTTGATGAATTTTACATCTGTAAGATGAATTTCGTGCATGGTATACTGAATTATTTACATTTCTTAAATCTCCGACAACTGAAGAATACTCAGAAAGGTTCTGATTTCAAAGAAACTAATTACTGTCAAATTCAGCACAGCCTTTTAGGATAGAAGAGGCCGTTCTTAATTACGTAATTCAGCTCTGACATAACACAGAGTCCCATAGTCCATAGGTTCAAAATTTAATTTCCCTCTGAGTAAATTCTTGTGTAATAACTAAGACATACATGGAAATATTTTCTCTCAAACTAACATTATTTCAGGCATACTTTTGGTGCATGCTAGCACCAGGTATATACCTAGGAGGAAAATAAAAATAGGAAAGTCTTCATCTTTCTCTAGAACCAAAGACCAAACACAGCCTTGAGAGTTTCCTTAAGCTCCCTGCATGATGTTAGGTCAGGTAGAGGACTTCAATTCCTGCTCAGCTTTGCAATGCAGATACCTTGGACTTGTTGATCACATTTAGTACCATTGTGCCATGAGCCATAGAGCTAGAAAAGTATTCATCCTGTATTAAGAAACAGAGGAGACATGAAGTATATTGTGTTTTAGTGTTGCTCAGGACCAGCTGCTGCTCTCTGTGATGGGAAGGCAGAGTGGAACAGGAATTTGATTCCTACAGCCAGGTGAGAATGAAAGTCTAATAGGGTCTTAATAGACTCTTAATAGAGTCTCCAGGAAAACAAGTGTTTTCATGGAAATGGCACTTCTGATTAGCAAGAGGAGCTCACACTATGCAATCTCACAAAATTATTTTGGTCAAGAAATAAAGCTCTGCACTGCTGCTACTTCTTGTTTAGAGCAAGTATGATTTTACTATGCATTCTTAATTTACAATAGAATTACCAATTTTATCCTGTTTGCTGTGCTGACAGCTATCATGTGAACCATGTGTTTTACAGGAACCTTCTGATGCAGTGAATTCCCTTAGTTTGCGCATTGACATTGGCCTTGCAAATCCTGGCTCTAGCCCTGTCCTTGATAGATATTCTCCTGCATCTGTGGCCTATAGTGTAAGTATACAGATTTACTATTGAAAAATCAATGGTCCATAATATGTGGCCACCAGAAACACCAAATTGGTACATGCAAGTGAAAACTAGTGTTCTAGTTTAGTCACAGGGCTGAAAACAGGGACCTGGTGGGATGTACCTAGATTCCTTTTATACCTTTGTTTGTATTGCAGGGGCATGCTCACACACACACATCAGCCACCATGGGGTAAGCATGTGGGTTGAGACATGTCACTGCTGATGTGAACTTCTAGTTGATGGCAAAGATGGGCTATTTTAGGTTAGTTTAGCCTACAATAAAAGAATACATAAAGGAGAGATGAAGCTCATTTGATTATGTCACATTTGTTATAGGTTAACAACAACCTGCCTGCATCATTCTTATGTATCAGTTAACATGTATTGACATGTTACTGAGTGTTAATCACTTGATATATCAGAGTTTTTAATGCCCTTAAGAGGGATTTTCTTACCTGCAAACCAAGAATGTGCTTCACCTCAAAGGTGGTTGCACTGTACTGTCTGTCGATAATTTTAAAGTTGAACAGTGTCATACAGGAAATGCTTTTGTTTTTCATAGATTCCTTTTATTAAAGACTGCGGTGAAGATGAACTTTGTGTCTGTGATCTTGTTCTGAATGTTCAAAGGAAGGCAGATGATGGGTAAGAGCTGAATCGGTGCAATTGTTGGGGTCAGGTGTTACGTTTTCACCAGTTGGTTTGTCTGTAGGCTTTGCATGAATTTCCAGATGAGAATGCCTTTCTAGTTCAACATCTACTTAGAAGCAGCATTTTTTTGAATAAAAAAAACCTAAACCAATAGCATTTATGTTTAAATAATTAGTCAAGGAAAAAGAGGTATGATGATAGAAACACAAGTATGGAAGTAGAAGTCTTGTCAGCTTAGACAAACCCAAGTTTTGGTACCTTAGAGACTGAGGACACAACATTCAGAAGAATCCCGTCCGAATGACTGCTCCCAGTAAAGAGAGCCCACTGGGAGAGCAGCAACAGCTGCAGCAGCCATCTCAGTCCCTCCTGCAGGGAGCAGTGGGGATCCTGCAGCAGCCTGTGCCACTCAGGAGCTGTCAGCCATTTAGGCAGTGCATATTCCAAGTCCGTATGCACAGATATGCATATGTGCCCAGTATACAGAGAGACAGGGCTGCCTCTTCCTGGAGCTGCCATCCAAGTCCACCTCCCACTCTCTGCCCACCTTCCCACCACGGTAGAGCCCTTGAAAATTGAGCAAAGTGACTTTGACCATACATAATCAAGGGCCTGCACTTTAAGAAGATACTAATTCTGTTCAGTTTTAAGAAACACCATCACAGAGTTTATGTCAGATTTAGAAAGCAGAACATTTAAGTGTGTAGAACATAGGAGATGCCTTGCTGTGCTTGTTACTTGTTTTTGGCTACAGGCAACACATTTTTTCGTGATCCACAGCTATTCTAGTACCTCTGTTTACAACAGTGGACTTTATTTTCCAACAGCAAACAGCAGTTTGTTGTCAGCAGCAAAAACAGAAGACTAACATTCAATGTGAAATTGAGAAATAAAAAGGAAAATGCATATAACACCAGAATCCAGGCTACATTTTCAGACAATTTGTTTTTTGCTTCATCGTCTTTACCGGTATGTGATACCCAACCTCACGGTTTCTGTTATTGCCACTGATTTTCAGGCTTCTCAGAACTTTGTTTTTTGTTTTTGCTTTTGTGGCTTTTTTTGTTTTGCTTTTTGTCTGTTTGGGTTTTTTTTGGCTAGTAATGCCTACCGCAGGAAAGAATGTGTGTACAAACCTCTCTCTCTGTGTATTTTCTTAGATACCAGAATTATTCCCTTCAGCATATCAGTTTATTTAGGTCAAGGAGAGACACGGCCAATTCAGCATAAAAGCTGGCAACCTGTTGTTTGACTTCACCTCAGTATTTCAGTCATCTTTTCCTCACTTTAGGCTTTGGCATCCACATCTTCTCCTTGACTCCCAGCAACATGCCTGAATGCAGTTGCTGTGCCACAGGGAATTTGTATTTGATAAATCAAACATACAGTATCAATGATGCAGCCTTAAAGCACAGACTTTGGATTTAGAAATAGTGTTACTGCCAAGGCCATGTGTTCTTACTAGACAGTTAATCAGATTGAAATGATTGCTATACCAGAAGCTGTTCTTTTAATGAATTTTGTCTTAGAAAAAGAAATGAATTATACATACTATTTTGGGGTGTGCTGTAAATCTATAATCTCAACTGTTGCTCCCAAACAATTCATAAAGGACGCCAAAAGACCACACTGGAGATAGGACTTTCTTTTGATTTTAAAGCCTATTTGCTTAGAAGTATTTCAGCCTGCAAGTGAAGCTTTTGATGAAAAATGTGCCTGCTTCAAAGCAGGAAGAAAAGATGAGGCTGAAAATATATGGGTGTTGGGTTTTTTGGGTTTTGGGTTTTTTTGTAGCATTATTCATGAATGGTGTATGTCTGGTAGGGATGTTTTTAACAAAAGACTACATTTTAATAAATTCAAAGTCATGATAACTGGCTATGGTCATAGTGTGTCTTTGATGTAGAATGATGACATGCTACATATTCTGCAAAGTAAACATCTGTCTTCTAGATTTTCCTACAAAAAGTATGATAGAGTTCTGCTCTGTACACTAACTCCTATAGTGAGAACACTTAACTAGCTCTCAGGTGATGTAAATGTGGCTGCAAAAGTTTTGTAAAATCACTGCAAAAAAGCACTGTAGGAGTTAATGCTGGAGGTGACCTGTACTCTCTAGCCTGTATTCCTTCCAAGCCCAGCACAAAATTCCAGCAAGATCATTACAGCTTACAAGAAATCATGCAGGACTGGTCCTTGTGCTACCTTTCTCCTGCCTCTCTCCTAGCCCTGTGCATGCCCCACTCATCTGTTGCATCTCCAGGAATTACTGCTATGATACCTATCTAGTCCTTAGTGTAATACATGCCCTGTTGAAGATACAACTGGGAACTTCCTCTCTGCTTTATCAAAACTTGGTATTAAGATGTCTTTTCTGTCTGTTTCTTCTGCAGAGCGATGGGACTGAAGTCTCATGTCAGACAGGAACAGCACAAAGTACAGTCATCTGCCAAATAAGCTATCCGGTTTTCAGAACACGACAACAGGTACAGCTAGCATATTTAAATAACCTTGAATAATGCCTAAAAGCTTTTTTGTTGTTGTTTTCCCCTAAATCTGCATTTCCTGCTGGTAAGGATTTCTTAGATTTGGCAGCAATTAACTTCCCTTTGGGTATCAGAAGCATTAAAAGAAACAAAGGGTTAAACTTTTGTGACTCCTGCCAGATTAAAGGGAAAAAGGGCTCTTGAAGCACATTTAGCTGCTGCTTTCAAGTACTACTGTAGCTTTGTGACTCTTGGAGGGCTGGGGGCAGAAGCAGAGATGATTGGGCATAGCCACCTGGGAACTGAGCACAATTCCTGTCAAACCCCTCCTGCTGCATGAACCTGGGGTAGCTCCTTCTCCTGCTCTGTGAATCTCATCTCTCCAAGAAAGCAGGATTGCTTCAAGAGAAGAGGGGTGGCCCACACAGTCCTAGGATAGATCCTATATCCTTTGTCTCGTATATGCTGTAAATATTGGGATATCCATGGTCTTACAGAACTTAATCTCATATTCCTCAAGGGTGGAACAGAAGCAGATTTCCAGCCTCTAACATAAGCAGCTGGAGCAATAAGAAACTTGCCAGAAAGAATAGAAACATGGCATTCTGTGGCAGAGAGAGCAAAATTTTTAAGAACCCACAAACTTAATACATACAAAAAGTTAGATTTCTTCTGAATTTTTCATGGCATTGGTCAAAGCGGAACTCTTAGAATAAATGGAAGAAAAGAGTGAATACAAAGCTTGTATGAATGCTAGGGTTTAAAAGCATGTAATTGAAGGAATCCTGAATACCTTTTGTTGCAGCTTGTAGCTAGCAAAGCAATTCTGGAGTATTAGAAATTACTGAACTACTACACACAAATTGGTGGAGAATTCAGATACAGAGGGCAATTGTAGATTGTTGCACTAAACCACTTCCTAATTTAGATTCATTGGGAAGTCCTTTGTATGTTGTACCTTCAACTCATTTACTGTCTGTCCGTCATCTCTTCTGTAGGTATCCTTTGATATTAGTTTTGATTTTAACCTGAAAAATCTTCAGAATGTGGCAGTTCTAAGTTTTCATGCATTGAGGTAAAGTATATAATCATACGAAAGTAAGTTAGGTATTAATAAGTTGTTTGTATGAAATAATATTGTGACACCTGACATAAATATGTTTTGATGAACAGTGAAAGTACAGAAGAGCAAGAACTGGACAACCAGGTCAGCTTATCAATCCCTTTGCTATATGATGCAGAAATTCACTTCACAAGGTATGCTGAATAATGTAAAGAGTTACCCTCATTGTAACTGTTAACAGTCTTGAAAGGCCACTGAAAAGATAGTGAAACTTTGTTTTCAGTTTGGAAGTTGTAAGAAATTCCTACTTCATCAACAGTAGCAGAATTTTATGTTCTTCCAATAATCTTACACATATGGAATAAGAAATTGTGGATCCATGTTTACCTGTGCACAACTGTTACAGATGCTCATGTGAATGGAAGTGGTATAAAAACTAAACAGTGCTTGTGGTTTTGATAATATTAGCATATACTATAAAATAAGGTTGGATCTCTGAGCTCCAATGTAGTGACACTGAATCAAATCTGGAGTTAAAGTGATCAAAACTATACAAAAAAAAAACCAAACAAAAAAAACAACAAAAGTTGTTCCATTTTAACTTAAAGCAGTTACATTTTAACTCAAATTAGAACTGAAACAAAAATACTCTGGTTTGACTGTCAGATTAAGACAGGATATTTTGCTTTTCATTAAAGAAAAGTTTTGTTTATCTCTTCCAATTACTGAATTTCTAGAATAAACTACGTGTAGTTGGTTTTGATGTACTGGGTCACCAATTCTTGGTAAAAAAATGCTTTTGCATTCTGAAGCATTCCAAAATTTGTAAACATAAACTGATAGAAAATAGTAGTAGTTATTCAAAGAAAGACAGAACTTTGAAAAAGAGGAACTGCTTAAAAATGCACAGCAACAGTGGATTCAAGAAATTAATATTTAAAGGCTGCCATGACTACAAGAACTGTTCGCTACATAAGATGACCTGAGCTGGAGTAGGGACCACAGTACAGAAGCTGAGTTTAATAACTTGCTTTGCAACACCAGTTTCAGAGTATTTGGAGGCACTGCATTCATTGTGGTTAGATGGATGAATTCTGGAGTCATGCAGAATTTTTCATTTTATTTGAAGAGAAGCATTTGAGTCAGTGCTGCAAGTTCTTTCAAGTCCCTGAGAATGTTGCATGAGATTTCAGCAGAAGCAGAGTGTTTGTTACTAAAGCTAGCAATGATACAGAAACTACAGGAGCATCTGCTTAGGTGGCTAGCACAGCAACTTCAGCTGCCTCCTAGGAAACTGAGATGGTGCTAACTTGAATCAGTCAATTTAATTAGCTGAGAAATACGAACAGAAACTCAATGCTTCAGAAAAAACGAGGCATGGAGTCTATAAAAGGGGAAACACTGGAGTTTGAATTCAGGTGCATCTCCAGATTATGAGAAAAGGCATTTTCATATGCAAGTCAAGGCATGAAGGAATCCCTCCTGCCAGAAAAGGATTAGTTATTCTTGCAGATGAATCAATTTAAAAGAACTTAAGGAAGTACACATTAAGCCAATTTTGAATGCTTCCCTTGGAGTTAGCTCATTTTTACACTCTTACACGTAGGAAATATCTATCAGGGGATAGTTCCTTCTTGCTACAGGTAATATAGCCAAGGAGCAACCTCTTAAAATACAAGGGTGGAGAAAAGTGGTGTCCTGTTGAAGTGAAGTTTTTCTTAGGGAAAATCTCCTAATCTGAGTTTCCAGGAGAAGAGGTGGTAATCAGTCTTACTAGTGACTCCTGCAAGGACAAGTGCATCCTACTGTGCAACCTGGAAATACTGGGATTTGAGCAACAAGGAAACAGAAAATGCATCACATGGGTTCTCCCAGGAGTCTTTGTGAGGAGGCCCTTCGAGGAAAGGGCCAATGGGAGGAAGTATGGGGCATCAGAAAGGATCCACGCTGCAGTATGGAGGAGCACAACTGATCAGGAATCACAGAATCACAGAATCACAGAACGTTAGGGATTGGAAGGGACCTCAAAAGATCATCCAGTCCAATCCCCCTGCCGGAGCAGGAACACCTAGATGAGGTTGCACAGGAAGGCGTCCAGGCGGGTTTTGAATGTCTCCAGAGAAGGAGACTCCACAACCTCTCTGGGCAGCCTGTTCCAGTGCTCTGTCACCCTCACTGAGAAGAAGTTTCTTCTCAAATTTAAGTGGAACCTCCTGTGTTCCAGCTTGTGCCCATTACCCCTTGTCCTATCATTGTTTGTCACCGAGAAGAGCCTGGCTCCATCCTCGTGACACTCACCCTTTAAATATTTATAAACATGAATGAGGTCTCCCCTCAGTCTCCTCTTCTGCAAACTAAAGAGACCCAGCTCCCTCAGCTGCTCCTCATAAGGGAGATGCTCCACTCCCTTGATCATCTTTGTAGCCCTTGATCATCTTTGTAGAGGAAGCACCTCTGTGAGACTTCACACATGTTAATTTGCCAATGTACACACAGATGTTCCCCAGATTAAACAGAGACAGCAGCACTGATGAAAAAGTTGATTTGCACCTTGTGCTAGAGGAAGAGCTGATGTAGGAATCATGACAGCCCCTGCTTCTTGTTAACTCGGTCCGCAGCATGCTTTTTGACTGCTCAGATTCATCTCCTAATGAAAGCTAATGATGAAGAGCAGACACAACACAGTTCTGGGATAGTTCAGCCAAGGAGCTGCTTACAGGTAGCACATGGATGTGATGCACTACACAGGGATGCTTTTGTTGTCTTTGAGCATAGTCCCAGCTGGCTGAGCCCCTTGAGCATGCAGGGGCCCTCAGAACACATCCTTCCATCACATACCTGTAATTTCATGCTGTGGTGGGCTGCAAGCAGCCTCTTGTTACTTTGGAAATTTAGAATTTTGAAATCCATAAATACTAAAGAAAGTAGCCCAAAGGAGACCAAGGGCTATGCAATAGTACCATGCACACAAGCAGGGTGCTGCATGAGTTTCCACACCCAGGCAGTGTGGAAGCAAGCCTGCTTGTGGTCTGTGGCATTAGGGCCCAGGATCTCCCTCTGAGTCTGATGGTATTTGTTTCTATAGATGTAACAAAGGGGACTGTTGGGTGGCCCTTTATGAGGAGGGAGACCGCTGCAAGGCTGAAAGTCACAGTTTATGCCTGGAAGAGGAACTTGCAGCTTGGCACTGAAACACCACTGGGTGCAGGAGGCTGAGCAGAGCCTGTATCTCACGCAGCCCTCTTGTCTTACCTTCATGTGTTCACTCCAGCTCCAGGCTTCAGTACACCATGTAGTGAATCAGCTTAACCAACTTTGTAAAATTCAAACAGCAGCATAACTGATTTTTCCTCTGCCTGTACTTCTGACCTGTTTCACAAAGGCACATCCCATACCACATTGTCCTGGTTTTGCTAGGACTGAACCGTAGAATTCTCTTTTAGTGTTTCAGCAGTGTTCCCTTTAAATGAACACGTTAATGCTGGAGCTTTGGCCAGGATGGAGTTGTTTTCTTATGAAACTGATAAGGTTATTGTTTTTGTTTTGCTGGTAAGATATTTACGTTTTTTCCAAGCTTTTGCACCTGTAGTTGCAGTTTCTTTTGGTTGGTTGGTTGGTTTTGGTTTTTGTTTGGCTTTTGTTTTGTTTTGCTTTATTTTTTGTTATCAAGTAGTTTTTATCTCAGCTGACAAGTTCTTTTACTCTCCCAATTCTGTTCCTCATCCCACCAGAATGTAGGGAGAAGATAAGTGAGCGAACTGCGTATGTTTAGATATTTGCCAGGTTAAACCATGACACTAATATTTTCAAAGCAGCTGTCAAATTGAAATGTATTGTTTTATGGTTGTTAACTAGGCTTGCCAACATCAACTTCTATGAAGTATACTCTGGTCATAACATTCCTTCCACTGTGAATAATTTTGAAGATATTGGCCCTATGTTCAACTTTTCAGTTAAGGTAAGTAAATGTTTCTTGTTCTAGTTCAAGAAGCTGCCTTACCTCCTTCTGTAGCCTGGTCCCAAAACGTAGTTGAAAAAACATTTCTGATTTCACTGTCTGATTTTGATGCTTTTGAATCAGTTAAGTAAGAAAAAAAATGCAATTAGCTGGCGGATAAATGCTTACAGTCTTTATGAGGGTAAGGATTAAATTTGCACATACTGCACAAGTAGAATGGGGGAGGGATTGGTCCTGCACTGTTTACATATTTAGAAGTTGGTTAATGCTTAACTTTAGTCCAAATTAGACTTTTTTTTTCCACAGAGTATATTCTGATGACTTATTAAAGGAAAACAAATCTTTGCAGGCTTGGACTTTGAAACATGAAGTTTGGCAAGGGTTAAGTCCTCAAACCAGATGCAAGAACTAGCCAGATCAGAGCATTTATTACAGACGTCAGAAAAACTTAGATCCAAATATGCAATGTGGAAGAAATCTAAATTAAGTTCCATTTACATTCCTGTAACTGCTACTTTAAATAACAGGCCTCTTGGCTGTGGCAGAATATTTACTTTTCAAAACACACTTCACGCAGTTAATAAGAGCTTTGCTAAGGAAACAGACAGGGACCTGAAGCTATACAGTTCACTTTCTGCTTTACTACTGGCATAATGTAGTAACTACCCTAGTAAGTGTCATAGTACAAAAAACATTGATGCAAAAGAAGTGCAGTTCGTCCATACTCATCCATGATTTCTGATTTTCATGCTGTATCAAGTAAGTTATTTGCTTTGCAGGTAACTACAGGAAGTATTCCAGTAAAGATGGCATCTGTAAATATTCATATTCCAGAACTGACCAGCAAAGAGAACCCACTACTGTACATAACTGCAGTCACCACAGATCAGGTGAAGAACTGAATTACATAAACGGCTGTGTTTTCAAGTTTGATCAGTACTATAAACATGAATTATTTTCCTCATCATGTATCTGAGATTCAGAGAGTCAATGCCCTTTCTCCTTGTCCCTTCCTCATAAAGGGAAGCAGGAGGACCACAATGACAGCAGTACATTAGTCTATTACTAGACATATGTGGATTATCTTTGTAGTCCATGCCTGACTTTTCAAAGGGCTCTGGAATTCTTCAGCTAGGTTCTTCTCAAAGTTCCTGGTTATAGTAAAAGGTTATAGTAAAAACAGAATTTTTAGATCAGGACAAACCCTTCAGGTCAATGTAGGGAGGAAAAAAAATACCATAAGAGCCATTTAATTCTGACCAAAACTACAGAGTTCATAAAGTATCCAGTGTTATATAATTCACAATCTAGCCTTTCACAGCCACCATCTCATCCCAGAAATAATACTAGTAGTAGTAGTAGTAGTAGTAGTATCATCATCATCATTATTATTATTGTCATCATCATCACTATCATTATTATTATTGTTGTTGTTATTATTATTGTGACTATAAACTCCTGAATATGATCTTATCCACTTGGATTCCTGCCATCTTTCCTAGGCCAGAGGTGTTACTTGTCAAGCTCAGATAAATCCACTGCAAATAGGAAAGAGACCTTATTCTGCATCTTTCATGAAAGAGAACTTCAGAGCATCCAAAGAACTGGTGAGTAAGACTCAGGGCTGCAGTACAACAGGACAGGGGTGCACAGCTGATCCTTATGGGCCTGCTGCTGTACCTATAGGGACAGCTGTGATGAGGGTGGCATTCCTCATTCACAGTGCAGGAGTGCAGCCTATGGATGATCTCACACATAGTGCACCTACCTTAGATAGGGGAAGAGGTGCATGTTCTTCACAGCTTGCAAGCACTTAATTTGTATGCACAGAATGGCAAAGGTATCCAAAAATCTGGATGTTAAAAGAATATTTTAACATTTAAAGGTGTATTTTTAATTCATGCTGTTGCCTCTCCTTGCTGTTTTCCATGGAAGAATTGTAAGACTATGAAGTGCCGCACCATTGCATGTAAACTGGAAGATGTTATGCTGAAAGGAGAGTACTTTGTGAACGTGTCCACCCGAATTTGGAATGGAACCTTTGCTGCTGTGAGTATTGGCTGCATCTTCATGAAGGATCTAATACTCAAGTATTTCCTAACTCGTGATATTTTTCAAAGTTCAGTAAAGAGAGCTTCCATTCTAGAAAGACCTTCCTTTACTTTACATTGTTGTGTGTGCTTTTCCAGATTGAAAACTTGAATCTAAAAGTAAGTAGAGAGGCTGCATAATGGAGCTGATAACCTTCAGTCCAGCAAAAACCTAAGAAAATGCTGTGATAATCCAAGGGGAACTACAGTTTCCACAAAGCTTAGCATAGGACAGCAGAGTAACAGCATCATCATAGCCTGGAAAATAATGCTACTTTTAGCTTTTGAACGTCATAGCCTAAATAGTGATCATTTTAAGTCACATCAGAATATCTAAAGCCTGTTAGTGCTGCTAGTAATATTTGTTAAAGAAGGTGTGGAAATTCTTTCTAATTGATTTTTGTTTTTACTAGAGTTCGTATCAAGTAAACAGTCCTAGCATAAAGACCTACAGAACGATTAAAAATATCCATCAATAATATCTTGACTTGCCTGTTTTAAATCACCATGTGTCCTCCAGGATATAGCTCATCATAAATTAACAGACTTTTGAAATGAGACCATGTTTACATCTTAGCTAGGCAACCAACCAGTCTTGGAGTCCTCAGTTTGCCTAGAGCATCAGGAACATGACGCAGTCTCCTCAGTTTGTCTGGCAAGTCATACGGCAGGTATTGACATTTAACAGCAGGACAGTTGTCAGCTTTAGCATTCAGCTCTTAAAAGGTCAGGTTGATAATGTAATACACTTAGGTAAGTGTGTGAAGGAAAGCATCTGTCTTTAAAGCTTGTATTTTCCAAATCAGCTGGGTCAAGACCACTTGTTAGTGCTGTTGGGTATGCAGAAGGTGGAAACCTGAACAAAAGGTTGCTACCTTCACTAGAAAGTGAGTGAAAATAATTTGTTTACCACAGGGCAATGGGAAGGAAAGATAGCATGTCCAAGTTTTCCTCTCATCTCAGATTTTATTATTTTCTATTTGATTATCAGTGTTCAGTGCAAATAATCTTGAAAGCACTTAGCAATGCACATAATCAGCCTTTATTTAGTGGCAATCAGTCATTGTCTGAGAAGGGGATAGCAGGCTTGCCAGTACCTGCTAAGCAAAGCAAAAAAAGATGTGTGGGTTTAGGTGGGTTTCTAAACACTTAGGAGCACAGGACAAACCACGTGGGCAGATGGCCACAGTGTAGGCATGCAATAACTGTAGACTGCACAGATGGTCAATTCAGTGTGCTTTGGCTGCTGTGGACCCATGGTTGCTCATGTTCCCAGTGTCAAGCCCCCTGTACCTGGCCCTGCCACAGAGAAATTACTGAGGAGGCAAAATGACAAAGCTGGCGTTGCATTTGGCACTGCTGGTGAGTCCTCCTGTGCTCCTGTGAACCTGAGACTGTTCATGGTGGTGCTGTAGAAAATGGGGCTCTCCGGGAGAAGAGCAGTGGTGAGCTGGCAGTGTCTGCACAGCCATGCTCCTCTGCCTCTCAACACATCCGCAGAGGAAAGCGTGTCTTTCACAAACTCCCTTTTCAAATGGGAATTGGCTTAGGATTTTTGTCATCTTCTTCATTTAAGCTGAGGGAGCGATGTCAGAATATGAGCAGTGGAGAGGAATAGATAGTCATAGGAAAAAATAAATGGGGAAAAACAGAAGCATTGGATAGAGGGGAGGAAAGAACATCCAGTTTCCATTTCTTTCAAAGGCCAGAAATGTATCCCCATCTGTCTTTGTTGCTGAGCTATTTCTCTCTTTCTCACTGTTCTTTTTCTCCCCATTTCTTCCCTGCTAGCAGCAGTGACAGCTTTCAAATAACTATAAAAACTGATAAACAATCATATTCTCCTGTTTCGCTTGACCTATATGTTAAAGCAAAAATACTAGTTCTCTAGTTTCATTGCTAGTAAGTAAGAACAGTAAAATTAAGTCTGGATTACTGACACATTGCTACTTTCACAGACACATTAGCTTGGGACACATTAAAAAAAAATACTTTTCTTAATACAGTGATTTTTTTTCTGGTTCTGAGGACTTCATTTCAAAGCAAGAGCATTATTTTAGGATGTCTACATTCTAATCTATTTGTCATGTAATAGACCTTTACAGGTTTTTTTTAATCTTCTCTTGCAGTCAACTTTCCAGACACTACAACTCTCTGCAGAGGGAAAAATTGATACACATAACCCTGAGTTATTTATAATTGGAGAGAATACCCTAACTGTAAGTAATAGATAATTACATTTTTTCAACTTCTCTTTTACTGAAGTGATAATATTTAATTTTCAGTGCCCTTTAGGAGTACATAGCAAATGACAAACTCATGACATTTGATTATGTTGAAATAACGTATACTTTGGCTATATACTACCTCCCGTAAGTTACTAAAATGTTTTCATTTCAGCCAACTGATATATAACCAGACTTAGTTAAAATTCTGTAGATCTATAATAGATTGTAGAACCATCAGCAAAACTTAGTTAGAAACTTCTGAAATTTGTTTAGCTTCCTGTTCATGAAAAGATCAAAATTTGGACTTCTTTCTGCAATAGACTTAATTGTTGTAGATAAATGAGCACTAGGAAACATTTTTGCAAATCTGATTTATACGCTTACTTCTGTAAGTGTATTTGGCTTGATGTTTGTAGACAGATGTTTGGCATACGTCTCCAGCAAATATAGTTAATCTCATTTGTAAAAGAATGTGGAGTATTTTTTGCATTTGGAATGACTGTCATATGGACAATATGGACACAGCTAATCTCAAGGAAAGTCTCCAAACCACCACTTTATTAGTGTAGAATCCTCCCAAGGTTACCATCTGCTATATACAAACTTAAACAACACTTGAAGAATATATTAGTGGTGTGGTACTCTTGTAATAAAAAGATACATTGTTCTTTTGGCCTGTCTAGAGAGGAACACTCTTCAATTGCAATACTAAGTTTAGATTTATTTTTACAGGATTTACCAGCCTGTTTTATCCATAAAAATAACAAGAGCAATTGAAGACCAAAATGCAAGTTAGTAAGGGAGTCAGATATCTGTGAGAATGTGTAGCATAGCCCACCCACAGGCAATGGAAAATTCAGTTAAATACGTACAAAGGCAGTTACTGATTGATCTGTCTCAATGTGGAAATAAGACCGTAATTCAGAACTATTTTTTGTCATTGTTTTCTCATGGATCACTCCATTTCTTGTGAAGGACCTCTAAATAGACCCATCTGTATTCAGGGAAACCTCCAGTGCCAGCAGAAGCAACAGGAATACATGTGCAGTTCTGGAAATAATGCCATGTTTTTGCAGAAAAATTACATGCCTGTATTTGAAGTGTGCCAAGTGCCTCACCTTTGTAGCATGGTATTACTTCTGCTAGAAGACGAAACTCATTAATACACAATGCAAATACTCCAGTTAATTGCACACGCATTTTAGGTAGTTCATGTATTAATAAGTATTCTTTCACAGCTGGGGCATTATACTGACAAATGTACATTACCAGCAGTTCTGTTGGTGAATTGAGGAGGACCAGTATTTAATTATTCAAAAGACTGTTGATTAAGGCAGTTGACAAATAAAAGGTAATTCCTCAGCCAGCCATTGAAACATCTGCAGCTAGGACTTTTACAGCTCTTTTACAGCAGTGCCTGAACAGACCCTGAAAGTTATCCACAGGGCTCCTAAAAAACACAGCGGCTTACAGAGCAGCTTGATCCTTACTTGATAGCCTCTTGCCCTGTGAGAAGTCTTGGAAAATGTGCCAGCTGCTCGAGGTACACTCTCCCTAGGGCAGACAGTTTCCTTTGCCACTTCAGTGATGGAATCAGTACACAGCACTGCATATACTTCTTGGCAGGCCAGCAGTGATACCCAGTCTTTGCCCTTCACACTTCCTTGGGAACAGGACACTGCAGAAGCAATCTGAGTTTACTTTCCAACTTACCCTATTATTTTAGACAAGGGTGGTAGGTATCCACATTAGTCAATCCACATTAGAGTTAGTCCTTCCAGAAACTATAATATGTAGAAAGAACAGGTATTTCTGAGATGCAATTAATCTCATCTTAACAATGATCCTGAAAATAGATAGAGTGAATTAGGCCCTAGAAGAGCCTATCCTTCTCCATTAGAAGACAAGGAGCTACTCTGTAGATAAAACACTAGAGGTGGTGAATCCCAGCTGTGGTGTCTTACTGATCAGTTTGACTTCAGGAAAGGTATTTGTTCTTCAGCATCGATTCACCTCTCTACCAGTACCACTTCACTGTTAATCTAATGGAGAAAGCATTACTAGGCAAGCTGCAAATATATATGAGATTGGCTCTAGTTTGGATGAGCTGGGTTGCTGTGTAGCCAAATGAATTAATATTGCCTTGTGATGCTATGTGGAGAAGCTGCTTAGGTAACTTTGCGTAAAAGCTTTCACATTTTTTCCAAGTTGGAAAGGACTGCCAGCTGGAGGAAAGAACATTAACCTGCTATAATCATCACTATAGCCATTCAGTTAGAAAATACACAAAGCCAGCCTGCCTCAGTGAAATGAATATACATAGCCACACCTAGCACAACATTGGAGCCTTCCACCAGAAATTACTTAAATCACCGAGATGTCAGTCCAGTGCAAGTTTCCGAGAAAGCTTAAGATTGAATTACACCAGACAAATGCACTGAGAAAGCAACCCTGAGAAAGTAAACCAACGTGTGACTCCTTTTATCATGTTTCAGAAAGGAAAAAACCTTCATGCTAAATGTATGCTGTTCCAAGATTAAATCCAAATATTTGACAGCTCATAAATATTACAGCAATGTCTCCCTGAGCAACTATGTTATATGTAACTATAGTTGAGTCATACCCAATCTAACTAGATAGGGTATCACCTGAAAACTAACTTGCAGACACCATATGCTGTTCTGGGAGCTCTCTGGTATTGCTTGCAGTTCAGGAAGCATAGGCATGCTAGAAACACTCCTCTTTGACCCACGTATCTTACAGCAAATTTGTGCAGTTGACTCAGGAGATCACAGATTAACATAAGAAGATCTAACAAGTTGTTAGTTAACAAGTGTTCTCACCCAGAAGGTGGGAACAGCAAAGGAAACAGAGGTACCTGTGCAACAGGAGGGGAGAAAGTTCAGCAGATTCAGAGAGTGCATGATAGTGTCTGGCCTCCATTAGTATTGCCTCCTACAGCTGCCCACCACAGACAACAGGCTTTGACAATGCTCAGTTGGAAGTCATTCTTCTCTAGCTCGTGCAGAGGAAGTCTGTTTTGAGCAGATGGGGGTCTACACCAGGCAATTCCCTACCTGCATGTAAGCATGTCTGGTTACCTAGTGATGGTGTGTCCATGCACTATGAGAACAGCTCTGAAACACCTCCTGTTACTGGAGAGGCAGAAAGCTGGCAGGAAGAGATTGCTTCTCTGCCTGCCATGTATGGCCAAGAGCAATGAGGGCCCCTAATCCTTAACTGGCACTGCCATGTGCCATGGTGGTGCAACCAAGTACCTGTGAACAGCAGTGAAAGGGCTGTAATTGCCTGGTGTGTTCCAGTCACTGATGCTGGAACGTGTGCAGTCCAGCTCTTCTTGATTAGCAAAGAATTTGGTTTACAAATCCTACTTTATGTGCAGTTAACATTAACCCCTAACACATAATCTCTCTGCTTTCAGATTTCAGTTACAATAATGAAGCCAGATGAGAAAGCTGAGATACCAGTTGGTGTTGTGATTGGTAGTATATTGGCTGGACTCCTCTTGCTGTTGGTACTGGTTGTCATTTTGTGGAAAGTAAGTAGGTGTTTATATTCTTAAAAAGAAAAGCAGAAAGTGACAAATACATTTGGGCTGTTTTCTTTGGAATCTCTTGTCTCTGGTGCTGAACAAAACTGCACATGCAGTTTGGTGGTATAAATAATACTGCATTGGCATTGTGCCCGTGATGGGAGCAGTCAGAAGGGTTTTAAAAATCTAAATTCTGAAATGGGTCCCCATAGAAACTGGCAACATGAAGATGATAAATGAGCATCCACTGGTTGAAAACAGAGGCTGTGGCATTTACTTTTTTCCCTTTGACACTGCCTGCCTCCTTCCATAACTTCCCAACTGGGGTCTGAACTCCCATGATACTCCCAGTGGGAAGGCTGGAGACTAGGAGCAAGGATGGAGAGGATATACCCTGAACAGACAGAAAGAGAACAGAAGGGCAAGGGCAAAAAGTCATTTACAGAGGATACCAAGATTAAGGGGAGAGAAAAGTTTTTCTGTGTGCCCAGGCATTGGTTCTTGAAGGGTTCTTTGGCACACCAAGGCAGCGTGGAGATGCCTGTATCTTGGCAGCTGGCTACTCAGAACTGCTGTTCTGGCATTTAGTTGCACCAGGCAGGAGTTTAAGGCCCAGCTCCTTTCATTTTAGTTAGGAATTGTCTACAAATGAAACACTGGATGTATGTGCACGCACACCTGCATTTCTACCATCATACTATTTAGCTGAGCTGAGAAATGTTACTATCAATGACTGACTGTGATGTGGTGTTACTTCAATACTTGTCACAGCTTGGCTTCTTCAAGAGACAGTATGAGAAAATGACACAGGATACAGAAGACGTCGATGAAATTACAGAACTCACAAAGGACAAAGACTGAAGAAGATGAGTTATGTGGATAAAGAGAGATCTGAGCCACCAACAGTAGTTGTGATCCATACGGTTCTTCAGCTGGAGTGCCTTAAAGCTTAGTAACATTTAAACATTTTTAAAGAAAATGTCTTTTTATAGATGAAAATATTTTTCAGAGTCCACTCTATTATAAGAGTAACTGCAGGACAGTTTGTTTTTTTCAAAAGTGATTTATAGTGCCTTTTCTTGCAATTTTTTGCCTTTCAAACAAACGTAGCCCTTAGAACTGGCAGGTCCGGAGTTTACAGTAACATACTGTGCCAGGAAGCCTTCTCCTGATCCACTGCAGAGTGAAACAGAGCAATTTATTTCACATTATTGTGGAACAGCATCAGTTCATAATTCGGTTGACAAGTACCATATGTGTAAAGGACATTTTCTATTAAGTTGATGATGAATGTGTGGTGAACACTGCTTCCAGACTGAGAGAAGAAAACTCATTTTTTTCATTGACTAGCTCCATCCTTATTGTTCTAGATTTGCACCAGCAAACCTTTGTCTTAACTAATCCATAAAGTAGGAAATGCATATGAAGATATCTCTGTGCTACAAGACAACTGGATGGGCAGACTGTTCCAAAAGTTCACCATATTCCTTGCACTAAGGTTTCAACTAAATTACTGAAGTACATTGTTTTTGGGAAATACTGCCAAACGCTGTGTATAACTGCCTTCTGCATACTTTCCCTCCAAGAAGAAAATATGAATTTAATAATAACTTACAGCATGTTCTCTGCAATGTTATGATTGGTTTTCAAATTTCATCTTGAGAAGCAGTACCACTATGGTTACACCAAGCTTTATACTCGCAGTCCCTATGACATCAGTTTGGCTTTTAACATACATAGGGAAGACAATCAAGATCTTGCCTTTAATTCTGTACTGAAAGGTTTTGCAAGACTAAGAGCATGAAGTGAACTAAAGGGGATGATGACTGAGGAAGTATGCACATTACAACAGGGGATAGTGAAGATCTAAGCTCTGTAAATTGTTTACTGCACTTGTTTCTTTAGCATCTGAGTGCCCTCCAGGAGACCAAAGTTCAGTATGACCTTACCTATCACATTTCATTTGGTCCCACGTCTTCATGTCTTGATGAAGTTAACTTATGTTTTATACAGTCAAGTACTATAGTGCTCTGGAAGGAACTCTGAGCACACTTGGGTGACTTTGGTTACACACCTCAAGTTTATCGCATGCCATTATGCTGCCTGGTTTTAATGAAAGCTCAGTCTTAAAAAGGCCCACGCTGAAAGACTGGTAACAGTCAGGGGAATTGGCCTTTTGGCTGCCTTTCTCTCTCATGTCTGATGGTCATGCTCGTAACTGACTGTGAGAGAAGGTATGTGTGTTGTCCTTATGTACACTGCCATGCAAGTGAGATTTTTTCCCAACTCGAGGTGATTTGAAGAGTAAAACACTGCCGTGTGCCTGATTCAGCACCCGAAGTCATGTTTTCTTTCCCCCAACACTAGATTGTAATTATGCTTAGGCACCTTTCAGATTATTTTCTGATTATTTTTTGACTCTTCAAAAACTAGACTTGTGCATGTTTAAAGTTTTACTGGGTCTTTTTCGATCTGTCAGTAGCCAAGTAACAACTTCACTTGCAGTGACAGCTGGATTGTGCTCAATGTAGTTTTATGTGTGTTTTGGATTTATTTTGTATCTACGAATGTTATGTTTTGGGGTATTTGTTGTTTGGTTGGTTTTTTTTAACATTCTGAAAAACAATCCAAATTCTGATCTTGACTGTCAAACAAGATTGTTGCCATCAGCTGAGTCTGTGACCAAAACAATTAGGGAGTAAAAAAAAAAAAAAAGCTCAAGAATAAGCTCCTGACTTGTCATTATAAACCCTGAGGGCAAATGCTCTGAAAGTAAAGATAAAAAATTTTCTGCCTCAATTCTTGTATAAACATGTGAGGAAGAAAACAAACCCTACACTCCTATGAGTGGGAAGTTCCTACATAACCAAGGTCATGCACTCCAGGCCAGAGGGGGAACTGTATAGTGCAGCAGATGGCAGCATCTTCCATTCTGGTGCTGCTTGCAAAGGAAATTTAGGCATTCAGCCAGATTTCCTTCTTCCACCTTTGGTGGGAGGTACAGGTCAATATCTGACATCCAACTTCTTTGGGGATATAACAGTTTATCAACTAGGTAGCAATGATTTGGTTTAGTAGTCTTCACTGGGTTCTGTTTTGACCCAGGCAACAGGATTTTCTGCTGAGCCTGGACTTAATACTTTTTCCCAAAGTAAAGGGAAGCCATAGCAATGGGTAAGGTTTTTGTATCCTAACCACTTCCAAGTTACTAGTTTTTCTCTTACAATTAATACTTAAAAGGCTAATTCAGTTTTTGTAATGAGTTTATTGCACTTTTAAGTTGGCACAGCAGCAAATAATGCTGGAAATATTATGTATATTTTGTATTATGTACAAGAGGTGGTTTTCTTAGTTTTTTAAAGCAGCACGTTACAGGTGAAATAATACTCTGAAATGCTGAGCTTCAGCACATGCTTCTGTTTGTGCTTGCAGCAGAAGTCAGGAATACCTTCAGCAAAGTAAGTTACATCTGACTCTGGTCTTGAAATCTAGTTGCTGACTTTGTACTAGAATCAAGTGCAAAATCAGAGTTAGTTTCATATAAGACTATGTATAGATTTGGGATGTACAAGAAAGTTTATAATCAAACTGACTTCTGAAAGCTAGCACGTAAACTGTATCACTGTGGTGCCTACCTGATGGCCCAACAGCATTCTACAATAAAGCAATAATACTGCTGAACATGGACTCATTTATTTTTGAATCGCACCCTAAAAAGAAGAAAAGCTATTGAAAAAGCACTGCATAAAATGGGACCAAATATGTCTTTATGCCAGTAGCACATAGCAAAAACCCTAAGAGGATGACACTGCTAGGTATACAAAGAAGCTGCACTTGAAGTCTTGTAGGTTATAGTCATGAGTGTAACGGTGGTGGAAAGCTATACTGTAGTGTGTCAGTTCATGTTGGTACAAAATACTTATATTTGAATACCTCTGGTTGAACAGTTGGTGTTAAAACCTTACCTTGGTCAGGCCTTCCTATAAACTTGGGGTTATCATCACTGGCATCTAAAATTACACACTGTATTCTGCTGGTCTCACACCCTGCACTTTATACTATGTACAGAATCAGTCAGAATCTCCTGGCACCAGCTCTGGCTGCTCTCTACCATGCACTGGAAAAGCCAAATGCAGCATTTCACAGCAGGAGCATGGCAGGAAAGGAAAAGCCAGAGGAAGGTGGCTGTGAACTGGAAGGCAGTAGGCAGACAGTAACCACCTGAACAGTCCTTCATACTTTCAACAGTGGTACCTAAAACATTCAGGCTACCAACTTTAACACTTCCATAATGCAGAATCAGATGACCCTAATCTTAAAGCACAAAACTCTATCTTCTGCCAAGTCTCAGTGTTCTGCAGAATTGAAAGCCAGATTCCTTAGATACTGTCTTGTGTGTATTACCCTTTTTATATCCAAAACTGAGGTACAAAAGCTTGCAAATTAAAGATTAAAGAAAACAATGGTGGGAAAATGCATCTCAAAAGCTATAGGTAATTGCCTCAGGTTTTCATGCCTTTAAAGGTAATAAAGTGTAAGTAATTTTCAAAGCCTAAGAAAAGCTGAATCCTATCTTTGAAGTCAACCTTTCTGCCCTCATTTATGATTGATTATTCATAGGCAATCACAGGCTTTGGTGTACTAGCAGTTTTTAAAATGTATTTGCCTCTTTCTCTTAATTGAAATTTAACTTTTAAAACAACTGCTAAAAAGATAAATCAGCATGCTGATTTTTTTAACACTTGGTAGGATCATATTGTATCGTTGGTTTGTTTTTGAAGAGGTCTAAGGTACTCAAAGAAACTGATGATTTATAGCCATCAGCCTATTATCTCTCTTTCAAGTACCTCCACAGGATACTCAGCGGAAGAGCTCAAGATTCAGTTCTCAGAGCTTTTTTGGGGGGCAGAGGGTAGCACTGTCTGCTTTCACAGACAATATTACTTTGTTAATAGTTACTTTTGGCAGTTTTTGATGGAGCAAATGAATGATTTAGTCTAGAAAACTACCTTGAACAGCTACGGGAAAAGTGAGCTGAGAGAAAAAACTGCGGTGGCAGTTTCCTCAGTGGTGGCCGAAGCCAGCGCTCGTATTTCCCAGCA